CATAACAGGAGAAGGCCCTGACACCCATACAATGTAGACGGGCTTGGGGGACAGTAAGGAGGACAGAATTTGAAGAGCTGAGGTTGCGAGGTGGGGAGTAGGGCGATAATAGTTCAGACAGGTATTGAGGTGCCAAGCCATGTAGAGCCTTATAGGTGAGCATGAGGATTTTAAAGTCTATGCGGAATTTGAACAGAAGCCAGTGCAAGGACTCCAGGATAGGAGTAATGTGAACACTTGCACTACACCTGGTCAGGATTCTGGCTGCTGAGTTTTGGACATACTGCAGTTTGTTCAGAGTAGATTTAGATACCCCTCCTAGTAGAGCATTGCAGTAGTCAATTCGAGAGAATACAAATATATTGATCAGCTTTTCAGCCACAGTTAATGATAGCATAGGGCGTAGTCTTGCGATATTTCTAAGGTGAAAAAAAGATGTTTTGACAGTATGCTGTACATGTTGGTCGAATGTTAAGCCAGAATCGAATATAACCCCAAGTTTTTTCCATTTTGATTGAAGGTCAAGTACAGAGCCATCTACAGATAGGGTTACAGGACTGGCTTTACGAATTTGATGGGGGGTACCAATAAGCATGACTTCAGTCTTGTCGCAGTTAAGATGAAGGAAGTTTTGAGTCATCCAAATTTTTATGTCAGAGATGCAATTAGATAGAATAGAGACAGCCACATCAGTGTCAGGTTTGGTATGGATGTATATTTGAGCATCATCAGCGTAAAAATGAAATCTGAGGCCATGTGATCTTAAAAGCTGACCAAGTGGGAACATGTAAATGCTAAAGAGCAAGGGGCCCAGTGTTGATCCCTGGGGGACACCAGACTTGACAAGACCAATTTTAGACTTGAGGGCAGTGTCAGAAACTCCGAACACAGTCTCGAGACGAGAAAGTAAGATGTTATGGTCAACAGTATCAAAGGCAGCACTGAGATCAAGAAGGATGAGTAAGGAAAGAGAACCAGAATCAGAAGCTATTAGGAGAGTGTTGGTGACTTTGACCAGGGCAGTTTCTGTGTTGTGAAGTTGACGGAAGCCAGATTGGAGGGGTTCGAAAAGGTTGTTTGTCATGAGGTGGTTATGTAACTGAAGTGTGACAGCACGTTCTAGAATTTTAGAGATAAAGGGTAAGTTGGAGATGGGGATAATATCATACTATCTGAAGATATCAGCATTACTTCCTTGTAGACCTATCTTGTCACATGTCAGAAGCTAAGCAAGGCTAGGCCTGGCCAGTCCTTGTGGGGAGATTGTTAAGGACAACCAGGTTATTGCTGTTAGTGGTCTTGGTGAACCAGTAGGTGAAACCAAAATTTCTAAAACTAAAAATGCCTGAATATAGTAGGAGGGGTCATCCTTTAACTGTGATGTTACACCCAGGTCTTGGTGACTTAGGCATTAAAGATGTCCCTGTTCCTGAGAGGAGAAGTGTTAACCCAGATGTCCTGGTTAAATTGCACTGCCTGCTTGCACAACGTGTTTATGCTGTCTGTGCAGTTCTCTGTTAATTCCAGTGGTGAAGCTATTTTATTCTCCACATGATCTGCAGTGTTATGTGGCTGCTGGTACTGGCACTGCAATGGTAGCTGAAGTTGGTCACCTCCTAAGTTGCTAATTATATAAAAACAAAGTTTATACAAAAGATGGCACCATGGAACAGTGGTTAGCATTGCTGCCTTGCTGCACTGGGGCCCTGGAGTCAGTTCCAGACCTGGGGCATTATATGTGTGGAGTTTGAATGTTCTACCAGTGTATCCGTGGGTTTCCACTGGGTGCTCTGGTTTCCTACCACAGTCCAAAACCCTGTCGATATGTAATTTTGGCTTCTAGGAGTATTGGCAATATCTGTGATTGTGTCTGTGTCTGCCCTGCAGAGGACTGGTGTTCTGTCCAGGCTGTACCCTGCCTTGTGCCTGTTGCTTGTCAGGATAGGCTCCGGCTCCCCCACGCCCCTGAATGGGATGATGCAGTTGGAATACAGATGGATCGAACGCTATTTCCAAGACTGTGTCTCAAAAATTCAACTTGCACCTCCAAAGATGTGCCTGTGATCACAATCAGGCAATTAACATCTCCCGAATCTGTATAATTCTAAATGTTTTTCATATATTGTGTGATCATGAACAGGCAGTATAACAGAGAATACTGGTTGTTTTATCATTTTGAAGGGATAGGTCATTAAAAGTTAAAGATTGCCAGTTTACACAGTGATTATACAATACTATGGCAGAAGAGAAGAGAAGGGAGCTCCTGTAATAATGTCTGATAAATGCCAGGAGTTTTTAAAATATATATAAGTAGAGAAATAACAAGTATGCATGTTACTTGGAACAGAATATCCAAAGTTTTGGGGAAACTTACAACTACACCATAGCAGGCCACAGTCTAAATACAACTCTCCTACATAAAAATAGATTCTGATAGAAAGTGGCAGACAATGAGCTGACATGGGAGATGCACACTGTCTGTTCCTCCAGATGCTGTGAAAATGTAATTATTGATAACACTTCAAAGTGTTATCTGCTACTCACAGCACAAGCTTAGAAATAACTCTGAGCAGTCAAACCTACATTTTTCTTCCATGTATTTCAGCCTACAAACTAGTACTGAAATGATCACATATTTCAAATAGGCATTTAATTGTGCTGAAGTGATGTACTTCTGTAAAGTAAAGCTTCAACAAAAATGAGGTCTCCATCCTTTGGAACCAGTTAGATGAGCATGTTTTTAAAACAACCAATGGCAAGTGTTAATTATATGCTCTCTAAAGATCTGCGGAATATCCACAAAGCTTGATAAAATCCAAATGATATCAAATGAAACATCAGATCACTAATATTTTAAAGATGGGTATTATAATCATTAATTTATTACTAACTCATAGGGTCAGATTTATTATTTGCTTGGTTCTGTGTGTATTGTTATTTTAGCCTGATAAAAAAATAATGGCAAAGTTTGATTTTAAATTGCATTGAATAACACTAATTAAAGATTGCAATAGTAGCTACATAAATATCTCAGCATCCTTTCCAACCTTTGAATGTAACATTAAAAAACATAACTGCTATAAATAACCTTGAAAGATCTATTGTACTTTTAATCTGAAATATGCCAGTCAGTAATTTTCAGTTCATCATTCTTTGCTGTTTTTTTTAGTCAAGCTGTGATTTTACTGTGATGTTGACTGAAAAGATTGTGTATAAAAGGAAATGTCTCTTCCACTCTACAGAAGAAGACAGGGAATTATCCCACAAACTGAAGAGAATGAAAGAGGAAACAATCAGGTTAGTTTTCCTACACCCACTCTGCAGAAAACACTCAAAGCTAAAAAAAGCAGCATGTTTCAATTTTTCAATCTTGCCAACTGAGGAGCGAAAACGTGAACTGAAAATCAAAACGCACAAACATAACATGATGTGGTTTGACAAGCTCTACACTGAAACTTTCCAATCTCTATCAAAGAATCTAAATACCAAAGTTTTTGCTTTGAAGCTGAAAATAAAGAAAAGCCTTGAGAGGGATGTATACAGTAGAAGCTCTGAGGTTTTTAGCTTATTGTTCCATTCACTGTCTTTAATTTCAGACTGATTCAAGCTGGGACCCACATCTGTTACACCAAACTTTTATAAAAATGAACAAAACATCCAAGGATAAGAGAGAAGAGAGAGAAAAACCCCAAAATAGCATCGGTAATGATCTATATAAGTCAAGACCTAGAAACCAGGTGTCCCTTATCATGCGATCAAGGCCTGCTTGAGGAAAAGATACAATATTTCCCAGGAAAACTAAAAATACACAGTTCTACATTCAGTGATTCAAAAACCACACACCTGCATGTACACCGAGTTAAGTGCTGAGAAACAGGCTGTTGTGTTTGCAGGCAGGAAATACGTGTTGCTCCCTGTCAAGCCCTCAAGGAAACCCAGTCTGGGCAGAAGCACTTTGCCTACCTTCAGTTGCGGTCAGGGTCAGGACCTGGTGCTCTCTCTCTCTGTCAGAGTTCACTCATTCCAGTGCTCCTCTTGATCGCCCACATCGATCCAGGACCATGTAAGGGAGAGAAAAGCCACTTCCTCCCGTTGCAGCTACAGGTAACTCCCCCCCCTCCCTCCAATACTACCTCCCTGTCTCCTCCTCCTACTCCAGCAGTGAGCAAGATGGATCCAGGCAGAGGATTATCTGCTGCTTCATCTGATTACAAATGAGAGGCTCTGTCGCAGATCTTCAAATCCCTGGCCTGGGTGGCTGGAAAGGGGAGGGAAAGGAAAGGAGAGAGGGAGAGAGAGGTAGGGGGTTTGGTGTATGAGTGTGTAGGGAGTGGGGGGGGGGTTGTGAAGAGGAGGGAGGAGGTGAGATGCAATTGGAGAGAGAGAAAAAAATAATAAGATTCAGATTATCTCGCTTTTGTCCTCACCCACTGCCTACAGAAAAAATGATACATGAATGAATTAATAAAAGCAGTGGTTCATTTCCAATACAGATTCTCCCCCCCAACACACACACACACACACACTCTGTCTGGCTCTTCCTCTCTCCATCATTCTCCCCTGGTTGCTATAGAAACAGCAATGCTCAATGGGAGCCTGATGAATTTTTACTTTTTTTTTATTTTGTTGTTGAGCAACAATGAAAACGCAGAAAGCTTGGAAGACACTGGGCCTGTTATTGTTGGGGCCTGCATGAGAAATTGTCTCTCTTGTGCTCTCACAAGCTCTGTTTTATCATTATTTTTAATTAAAAAGACCAAGAGGCACAGGCAAGACAGCTTTTACGAAACACAAAAAGACGTAGATTTTAAAATGTCATCTGCTTGTCATGACCAGTGGAGATGCAAGAGTGTGTCGGCACAGACCGCTGTTTAAGTGTCTGTGCATGTGTTGTTACCTTGGTGTGTATGAGGGTGTGATGTTAGGTGTTGATATATACAGTACAGTATCTTTGGAGTCCCCCATGCACCATACACAGATACCACACTGCTATGTAGTGAAAGTTAATTAAAACTCTCTTTGTTTAATAATTGATGTAATTATTTTTAGCTACTGAAACTGTTCCTTTGTGAGATAATAGCTCCAACATACAAAAAGACTTGAATTTAGTGCTCTTTTTTTGACATATTAAAGACTGTATGCACAGTCCTATATTTTATAGCTTTCTGTTGAAAATTGCAATTGCATTGCTTCCAAAAAGGAGAGAGGGACATGCCATTAATTGCACATGCACAGAGATACACATTACAGAACTACAGGCATACTGCTCACACACGCAGCACAGAGTGCCAACTTCCTGAGGGCTAATAGAATAAAGATGCACTGCCATTGGGTGATAGCAGTCCTGGGGAAAGTGCCACTTGACTCCACCCACATGCAAGGCACCTGGGCACTATGAGAGACAGCAGTATCACACAGCTGTCTGGCCTGGGAGGCTCTTGATCCACCTAATTTTTTATCTGTTTTTAACACTTTCACAATCATGCAGACATGGTAACCGTGCAAGGTTCAATTATGGGAATGTAAATATTGTTCAGCTCTCCATACGAAGAGATGAACTGTCTAAACTGACCTTTAATTTAACTTACTGGGACTCATCAGCAGGGCAATGCTATCTTTGAATAGTGAAACCTGTGCCTTACAAGGAACATCACTAAGAAACATGGTGTGTTTTTGGAGCAAACAGTCTCTATTAATGATAAAATGTGAGCAGCTAACTCTCACAACTTCAAAACCATAAAGCAAGGTCAGTATATAGAGGCCTTGTTAGTAAACAATAGAACAATGTATAGATATTATCAAATTTGAAGAGCAAGTTTACAATATCTATACATAAAGTATACACATCTACTGTATATATACTGTAAGAAGAGCACAATTTCAGTGTTCATAAGAGAATTTGTATGTTTTTATGAGTCTACTGGAACTTAAACACAGCTGTCAAAAACCATTGTAAAAGCCCTGTTATGTCATGTTATGTTATGTAATGTAAGTTATGAATTACATACACCAATCTGAAAATTGTCTGAACATCTGTATTCTTTCTTATTAAAGAAAAAAATCCTTTCGATGTTGTCCAGATTTTACATGAGGGTGTATCATGCGTTTGATGATCATTTTGCTGAAAAAGGAGGCGGCTTGATGGAGCAGGACATTGAACCTTCAGAATAATGTCTTGGCTTAGGACACATGGATTTGACCCCAGGGATATTCAAGTGTGATCTGTGACATCCCTCTACATTTGGGCGGAGCTGGGCAGAGTCCCAAAAACCTTGCCACCTTTAATTACGATAATCGGATGCCTTGGGCTCTAAATGGATTAGGGCAACCATTGGCAGCTGAAGACAGGGGCTTTCTAAAACCTTTTTAATCTGCAAAGTCTCAGGCATTTTATTTGCAGGGCTCCTAGAACACAGAGGATTTTGCTACAGACGATTTAGAGAAGTTTAAGAGATGTACATGTAACAGGACTCATCTGAGCTCATTATGGAGATGTAATCCCTTAGGCCCGGGATACTCCACCTGTGGCCCCTCCAATCTGCTCCACAGTGGTACTTTGCAACAAGCCCTTTAATTTCTGTATTGGTCATGCTAATTATGGACTAAATTATTAAAGAGCTAGTTGTAGTAGAACTCGAGAACACGTCATGATATGGTTAAAGGATATACACTTTATCAACATTTCATTAACTTTTCATAGAAAATTACTAAGTAGTACATTAACTGTTAAAGCAGTTAATACAGATACAGTATTAATATGTATTCATGTAGCCCTCCTTTAATATGCGTACACAATATACACATACTCTATATGAACTCAGAGGAAGATGTGCTTAAATATTAAGTATTCAGCTATGTTGCCTAATCGCTGTGATATATTGTCTCTGATTGCAATGCAGTTAATGTGTATGCTCACTTGTATAACTTAACTAACATTTGTTTTACACATTTATAAATATGCATAATACAGTATGTGTCTATTACCAGTTAATATATTCCATATTCAAAGGAACAAGTAATAGGTTTATTCCATGCTGAAAAAAGAAGAAAGAGAACACAACGTTTTGGCCGTGGAGCCTTCTTCAGGTGTCTGTTTGCAGCCTACGCATGCTGACGCAGCTACCCACCTGAACTATTCCATATTCAATATCAGTTAGCCATTTTACTTACTGAAGGGTTATTATTGAAGTGTTGAGTGTTACTCAAAGTTCTGTAAAGGTTGTGTATCCCTGCCCTGGGAGGATATCCAAGCAGTAGACTTTGGGATGGATTCATTCAACTACTGCATAGCTACACATATCAAATAAATACAAGTATTCAACTGACTAGTCCCATGAATCAGATTTTTGTTCTGAGGATGTTGGATTTGAAATGTAATCAATGTAATAAATTCAATCAAAATTGTGAGCGTAATTACAATATGTAATACAGAATCAGACCACAGTTATTGAGCAGAGTTTATTTTGAACTCTCAGTAGCTTCTGTGGTAGTGAAAATTTCAATTATTTTTGTACATATTATTTTTGTCCAAACAAAAACACTTGAGATCACTGGGGTGAATTAGGGGTAGACTGCTATAGTTAATTGTTAAGGGAATCATCTTCTCTAGCCATCTTGTGTGTGGAACTTGTAAACTGTCAAAAGATGGAGATAAACATTGGAGAAGAACCAGTGAACCAGTGAACCATTCACAAAACCAAAGCGCAATATCAAAAACTAATAATGAAATTGAAATTGATTGGGAAGATGGAAACAGAATATTTCATTTGCTTTAGAAACCTTCTGGGTTTTGAGTTTTCTTTCTGCTTTTCAGAGCTCGGCCTGCTTCTGCCCAGTGCCTCATTTCCACCAATCCACATCAAGGTGCACTAACAGGAAGTTGAAACGCACAGGTCAGAAAGAGAAACATTTCTGTAGCCAATTTCCGTGTTGTTGTTTCATTCCAGTTTCAGCAGAATTAGAGAGCCAATGAGAAAAGCACTTACCATTAACCAAAAATGTCTCAGAAAATGTTGCTCTTTTTTAAACTTTTCTCCTGACCTTGTGAAAGCCTGTACGGGCACACATACAGAAATTAATGAGGGGAATTTGCAAAAAATCCATTTAATGTTTATTTGGTTAATAGTTAATAAGAACCCCTGCGGCCATTTAAGGTCTATGTACTAAACATGAACTAGTACAACAGCTTCCATAGAAGGCTGCAGATCGATCTGTGCAGAACTGTTGGAACTTTCCTTTTTGAGGGCTGATGCATTCCAAAAAGCCATTTCCAAAAATTTCTAAATTGAATGTATTAATAATGTATGAGTAGAGTGACAATATCGGTCTGATGCGAATGTGTGCACGTTTGTGTCTGTGTGTGCCCTGTGATGGACTGGCATCCCATTCGAGATGTATCCTGCATTACACCCATTGTCTGCCAGGATAGACCACAGCCCCACCACAACCCTGTATTGGATAAAGCAGTTAGAAAATGGATGGGTGGATCACAAATGATAAAAACTGACCTGTTCTGTAAGTCAATGCCATTTTGTTTACAAAACAGATGATGCAAGTGGAAACTTCCAGGCACTTTTTTCTTTCACAAAGGGACGTGTAAGTATGGAACAAATTACTCGATCAGGTTGTTTAAGGCAAGACCATCATTTCTTTCAACAATGCCTGGATTAGGACATTGGGTCAATTAGCTACTGTACAAGCAACCACGTGAGTTAAATGGGGTGTGTAGTGACCTCTCTTGTTAGGGACCTTCCTGGTGTTCTTATTAAACCTTTCCCCTCACCGTACAATGAAGCTGGCTTTTTCTATGTTACTTAATACATGTATTAACAGATGAGTTACAATCCATTTGTAAAGTGTTATTTCACACCTGCCCATGTTAATGAGCTGCACTCCCTTTTCTTCATCTCTTACATATTCTAGTGACGTTACACCGCAGAAATGGGAGCCTACTGTAAATAATGTCCCAAACTTCATTGCTCTCAGCTCATTGAGCCAGGTCATTACTCACTCTTGATATGCAATTACCTATGTAGTAAATGTATAATCTGCTCATCTGTCACAAGTTACAAAGGAAGAGTGATGATCGTGTAGAAGCCTTCTCTTGCACCAGTTGTGGCTAGACGTCACACAGAAGTCGTGCTAAAGGTCATTGTTTTAACTGGTTTCTGAGAAGGCCACACAAATGATAAGTAAATAATAAATATCCACTCCATAACGGTACCACACAAATGATAAGTAAATAATAAATATCCACTCCACAACGGTAGACTGCAGCCAAACTCTAAACACAGAATTACAAATATCATTACAGAAGGAGAACAAAATACACAAAATGCTTCAATGTCTGCTAATTTGTCAGCCAAATGAACTTTCTTCTTTGTATTTTTTAGGTCAACAGCTAAAAAAACATATTAGGTATGAAAGATGCCCTTCCAAAGCTTCTCTTCTGAAGTCTGTGGCCAGCTGGGAGCAGTGTGGAGCGGCAGTGGCAGCCTTGAAGAGAGCGTGTTTAATTGGAGTTATCTTATCACCTACCGAGCTGGAGCTCAGAGCTGGAGCAGCAGCAGGTGGAACTGTCACATGGTGGGGAGGACTGGGGGGGATAGGTAGTGGGGCCCCAAGTCAAGAGCACCAGTGACAATAAACACACAGCACTGCACCTGTGAAGAATCCCTTTGTGCACTGGAAATCTCAGAAAAGCTGATGCAACCACCCACCTCTGAGAACGTGAAGCAAGTGGAGATGTGACTGATGAACTGGCTTAATGCATAAGGATGCCTTGAAAGGTAAGACTGAGGCCAGCGAGGTGCATGTTGCTTTTTTCTGACTAGTAGTGAGAGAGCAGGACTGACTGTGTGGAGCTTTTCATAGTACCGTGTTAGGAGTGCTCTCTCTGAAATCCTTCAGTTTTTATGTGTCATTCATAGCCTAGATGAGTAAATATAGTTGTTATTTGTGGAAGGGTGAGAGTGTCTCCAGCTGTAAAATAATAGGGGTTCATTGTAGAGACAGATGAGATTCCCTTTACTTAGAACAGAAAGGAGATTTGAACTATGCCAAAGTACGCTAAAGCTCGAGATCCTAAGCACAACTAGAAGAGGGTATGTGTCAAGAAGTAAAAATAGTGCTATCTATAGAGCTAGATAAAAGATTAAATAGAGGTCAATGTTTGTATTCAGTTTGTATTACAAATTCAGTTAATCCATCATATGACTTTCCCTCTAGGATACTAAGGGACCCAGACTGCCCCACTTAGGTCTGACTTCCTCAACCCAGCAAAGAGGTGGGGTGTGACTGCCAGGCACACTGGCTGCAGTAAATTCTCATTTGCCTGTTGCTGCACACCATTCACTGATTTCTGAGTCCAGGTGAAAGGAGAGGAGAGCACAGTCCACATTTCCCCACACAAGCCTGGGAGAAGTGTGTGGGTCACAGCCAGGTGTTCCTCATGGCTGGTAAGTACAAGACAGACACTCCCTCCCTTGTGTCTGTGTGATTGGCATGAATTGCTGTTCCTTTAATAAACCTGCCTTTAAACAAACTTTGAAAGCTGACACAGTTACAGTAGTTTGCTAGATGCCAGATGTTTATGGTAATCATTTGCTTTGGCTCTACAAACGTAATGAAACATTGACAATGACAAACAAACCAAAATCTAACTCAACATCCACTTATGTTTAGTAAAGTGAGCAGCATTTTTGGAACTTCTGGATCTTCACTCCTCACTTTCTTTTCCTTGGATTGATCACTTTTAGGAAAACAAAATCAAAGTGGTTTAGGCTACATAAAGTCTATTTCAGCTATTTAGGTGTTCATATATGTAGCCCATTTAAAAAATAGGCTCATTAAAAACTTAAAATGCAGGCAAAACTAAATCATACTATAAAAACTATATAAGGTAGGGGGATAGCTATTGAGAGAAGTACTTGTTTTGTGATTGCAGTTAAAGTGTTTTCCCAGGAGCCATACGTTTCAGTCCATTATGCAGCGTCTCATCTACAGCAAATGAAAAACGTGCTGCTTCATCCAAACTGAATACTCCCTCAAGAAAACAGGACAATTCTGGCAATGTTGCAGTGTGTTGGCATTGACTTCACTGCCTTTCCAGCATGTTTAGAAGAGACAAATCGGGGATTGTGTATCCACGATACCGATATTCAAAGCTGCATGGAATGTCAATCTGGAACATGCTAGTGTCTGTGCCCAACTACCTGAGCCAAAAATATTTAAGATGTCGCAGAAGAATAAGGTCAGACCACTTCATTCTTCTTTCCTTGGAATGAAAAGACTTAGCAGGCTTCCGGAAACTGAGCAAAGCGCCAGGTTTTGTCAAATGAGGGATGTCTCTGCAATTATTAAAATGGAAAACCCGCTGAATGAGGCCCATTTCTTACTGCAGAGTATAGATTCAGATTTCAGTACAAGTTTCTTATTCTCCTGATTTGCACCAGCCCCACATTTCCTGTGTTGATGTACCTGTAAATCTACATCAGGCAACTGACGCTTTGCCAGTGCGTAACTTTGACAGTTGCTGCAATTGTTAGAATCCCCTATATGAAAGTCTTCTACCATTTTAAACTCAAGAAAAGAAAGAAGGAGTAAACTGCAAGACCATAAGGAGCAAAGGAAAAAACCTCAAAGAGAAATACTGAATATTTACAGCAGAAGAGTTGTTAAACATTGTTGAACATTCAGAACCAAAGATAAACCCAGTCCAGGTGTGGGGGATTATGTGATAACCAGTGTTAATTAGAGCAGCGAAAAAGGGCAGCATCTGTTTCAGGATCCTATGTACTACGTGTGCTGGAGGATTTCTATATCTGTGTCATTAGACTGGACATCCACAGTCCTGATCATGCTGTACAGAGGTTCATAAGACTACAACACACTAAAAAGGTAAAATTCCACTTATGTTGCAGTACAAGCTTTAATTACAGTCCTTATATTTTTTTCTTACACTTTTAACTGATTGCACAGCACAGCATTTTGAGATGTTGCATGTTGTACATCTTATTTTCATGTAATATGTACTACTATGTTCTTTCTAGATGGGCCAGCTGACTAAGCCTAACCATAGAGCATGTGTTCTGTAGAAAAGTATTTATGTACCTCTCAGGACATGGAGCAGCAGTTTCATCACAACAGTGACTCAGATGTGTTATACTGTCTGATATCGAGGAACCTCCAGCATGCAGAAGCCAATGAGAAAGATCCAACATTTCTGTCTCCTCTAATTGTTAGTCAGGGGAAACTGATCTAATCTGTATTTACACAATCATAAACATCATTGACTGGTTCATTGAAAAATTTTCAGTAGTAATGACAGTCAGCGACAGTGAACACTCTGCAACTAATACTGTATATTGAAGAGAAGGTGAGGCTTGATCAACGTTTAATAAAAAAACATTTCTCATGAAAAAGCCTCTCAAAACTTGTTGCTCTGGTACAATATTCATTTCCATATTCTTCAAGTGCTGTCTAGAGGTTGTTTGTGCTTTATTGCTATTATAGGTCTTCAGCTGAGAGGACGTTTTACTTCAATTGAAGGTTCTGACTTTTCACAGTTTCACAAAAGGCCTGTAAAAACTACAACGGTACTGCTGCTACAGTATGTAACCTGCTGGTTCCACTAACTGGCATATTTATTAGCAGTGGGAGTTGTAGGATTGTTGGACTGTGATCTAAGATCATATATGTGACATACCTCACACATTTTATAGCTCAAATCTAACTTTTTCTGCTGTATTACAACATTCATTTTAGTTAGATGTTTTATGGCATTTTGTTAGACTGTACTGCCTGCCATGGATTTTTTTTACCAGCTCCAAATATCACTGCAAACATTTAAATGCAGCTATAAAACACTGATGTGCACACTGCAGTATATCTGCCAGTGATACAATTATATAGACATACTCTGCATTATTAACTTTCTGTGTGCATTCCTGTAGGAAAGATATGTGATAACTATGTAATGGGTGAAGTCTTTTACGTAATGTTATATTTATTTTTAATGTAATGCTTATCTGTACAGTTTATAATTTTTCTAAGTCTGTGTTAAATGACTTGGATGCAAACAAATATCTGAGAAATCAGACAATTAAGATTATTGTATCGTAAAGTGTCCACGTACTTGGAGAATAGCCAGTTCCAAGCACACAACATGCAAACAAGCTCAACAGACTTACTTATGAATGATATATACAGTATTCACACACAAACACACATATTCACACACAAACTTCTAAGTGCAGACGCATAAATAACACAAACTCACAGAGCCCAAGTGAAACATATATAAAAATGCATGTAAAATGCAAAGCCAAAATATAAAATGTATGTGTGATAGGCACACACACATTGTGACATGTGCTCGGCACTTGAAATTAGCAAGTAATCATTGGTAGGGGCACACTTATCGTACACATCCAAACAAACAAGAACACAAGACCTGTAATCCTACTCTCCTCCACCCTCTAAAAAACAACCCTGGTAAACACTGCCCTGCTCATGGCTGTAGAATAAGAGGTTACCTTCTCCAAGAACTGCTGGGCTGCTTGTCAGATAGCTCACTCTACCCAGGCCTCAGAATGTCCTCAAGGCTTCTTGGAGCAGATAAGGCCCCTTTTGGATCCTAACATTAGGCTCAGTATCCCAGGGAAGGGGTGGGTTTTTCCTTTGGCTCCTACGTCTTCAGTCTGTCCTGTGCTTTTGTTAGGTTGAGATGAGTTTGACTGAGGGTTTATTGAGCAGGTCTAATTCCAAAGTGCATTCCTGCTTAGAGGAACTCTGAACGCAGGTGAGCGGTCACAGGTTTCACAAAGGCATTCGTCCGCAGGCACGCCCGCCTGAACAAACCTGACGCATGCCCACACACAGGCTCCCACGCACACACAGGTGTGCAAACTTATCACAAGAAAGCTTTGCTTCCTTAGTTTCAATTTGTTGTATGTTTGAAGCCGAACCACTATTACCATCAATTGATCAAAATAGCTTAATTGTTGACATTAACTTAACGGATAATTTCAACCTGGCTCGCAAACATTTGACTTAAAATTCTAAAGAACACGGACACACCAATGGCCAAATACCCAGCAATGCTTTTACAAAGCTTTTTCAGGAGATTTTACAGATATCTGCAGTGGTTTAAGTGCTGTGGTTCATTGCATCATTCAATCAAGGAAGACATTGATTGCACAATTTAATATTCCCTGCTAGGTTATGAACAGCTGAAATGCTTTCCACAAAATGCTAAGGTCTGATTTTAGTTTACAGTTAGTTAATTATTAATTTAGCTCAAGTGTTTTTTTTTCCACCACAACTTACTGTACATTTTTTGTCCTTTTATAAAGCGGGATTTTACTGGAGCAGTCTCAGAGACGCACTTTGCTCAAAGGTATAACACCAGGACCTCTGCTCAAATTCCCAACCTACTGTTCCATACTATTGCCTTGTAGGAAAACAAGTGTGAAAAAATAGTATCTAATTTTGCCAAGGAACGCATCTTTATCGTTGGTCCATGGCTCAATAAATGAGCTTCTAATAAAAAAGCAGTGTATAATACGCTTAGATACATTACAGTGAAGACATGGTAAAGTCTTAAAAGGCACAGCTGTTTATGTCTATTCCATCTATTGCTTACAATACTTCCGTCAAGTTTTTTTAAGACTTGTGACAATCACGTACTTTCACCCAAAACCTGGCTACGGTATGAATGCATGGGTAGAGAGTAAATATATCTAACCCTGTCATAGCTTCTGACAATAGCTGGAATAACCGGTCTGTTTGGTTCATCCTGCTGAAGCAGCAATCACTGATACTGCCCGAAAGCCACTCCAAACTGCAATCTGTTTGTGTTAAATCTCAGGATCTAAGGAAGGATGTACAGTACCTGCTTTGCACAAGGAAAATGAAAAGGATTCTGTTGTGAGCCTTTGGCTCTTGCGCCAGGTTGTACTCACCTGTCAGCATTACTGTGTTTTCAGTCCCTCTGTCAGTAGTGTCTGCTGGGCTGGTGGCAGGTATCCTGCTCTCATTGCTGCTTGGGATCGCCATCTATTTCCTGTGGAAAAGGAAGTGTCTTCAGGGGCGGTATGAAGAGCTGGTGTCTTCCACACCCAGTGTCCAATCCAACCAGCCTGCCACCTCCCTGTCCTCCAATCAGAAGTAAGAAATTCGTTTTTTCCCCGAGCTCTTCTTTCAGGGAGCTCTAATTACTTGACAGTCCAGTCTGTCGATGGTTAGTTGCTGTCCTGCGCGTTTAAAGTTTGACCCTCTTTTGAATTGTCGTTTCCACCAACAATTGAAAGCAACCTGAGAGCAGCAATCCTTTCAGCCGCTTTACTGGAATTTGTGTGAAAGTTCTTTTACTTTTCTGATGCTGAGTGTCACAGATTTTACAGTGATAAGGATAATTCTCACATGATCCACTGACTAAAAATAAAGAATGCAGATGGACTCACATAAAATCACAGAACCTACTTTTCCATGAATGCTGGAAAGTTTGCAAGCTGCCTACAGCTACATTTTCCATTTAAATAATGGTTCTTTTAAAAACCCACTGGTGTAGACCTTGTGCCCTTGAAATAAATACTAAAGTAACCGATAAGACCTAAAAATGTAGCAAGTAATGAAAATGGAGCTTGTGTTTCTCAATTAAGCTTTTGATCATAAAATTAAGATTCAATCATCTTCATCTTCTCATTTAAGGCTCCACAATATGAAGTAGCTAATCATTTTCCAGTTTATTGCTTTTACATCCTTCTACTAATGGAAGTGATAAGGGTGACACACATGAGCAAAGTTGTGAGCAATTATGGGTCTCATGCTGCCTTTATTCTGCTGTCCTACACAGCTACATTTTAGCTTGGCCCAGAGTTCTTGCTCCTGGCATCACCCCAAAACAGAGGAAATGTCTAATTTTCCTACAGTCCTTACCAAATCACCCATCTCGTGGGGAGCCAGAGCCTATCCTGGTAAGTAAAGAGAGCAAGGCAGGATACACCCTGGATGGGACACAGAGACAAACACAGACATACACACACTGACACCAGGAACAATTTTCCCAGAAGCCACTTAACCTACAAGCACATCTTGGGACTTACAGTACTTACTTGGGAAGAAATCCACATGAACACAGGGAGAACATACAAACTCCACACAGATAGCACCCCAGGAAGCGAACCCAGGGCCCCAGTGCTGTGAGGCAGCATTGCTAACTACTGTGGCACCATGCTGCCCCGGTTACAACATCAACCCAATTACATAAATAACACCTCAGAATGAGCGTCTCTATCAGTCCCTGCAGGATGCATGTGACTGTACCACCAGACACTCGCGTGATTGAACCTTCTACATAGTGTTGGGTTGCATATTATCACTAATGTCAAGACTCCTCAGTTTGCTAAGGTAAGGCTTTCTATACTGGATTCTCGAGCAGGTGAGCCAAACTGGGGCTACACAGTGCAATGCTTTCTCGTGTTGCTGGAAGAATTCATTCAGGCCTTGGCTCAATGTTGGTCTGACATTTGAATGTACTGTAAAATCCCACGTCCCGTCTGTATCTCAGCAGCACCAGCGGGATCATCCCTTTTGTGATTCCTCCACATTTCATCACCCGGAGACACCTGGAGAAAGAAGAGGAGGAAAGCAGCTCCAGTGATCCCTGCCACCACCACCGCAGGTCCTTCTATACCAGGGGTAAGCAGGGTGTGGTACAGGGCAGCATGGGCACATTGAACACCAGAGGAATATGCTGGCAAGACAGCACCCAGCTGCTCTATTAAAAATGTCATCTTCTGAAAACCTGGGGCACTATAAATACTAACACCAGGAACCAGAATGGAACTTAGTAGTGTGCCAAACTGAGGGCAGCTGGGATTAGTTATCCAGAATGTAAGATTTAGCAATATAATAGCTATGCAAAAAACACAGGTACTGGAAACTTCAATTAGTACAGTAAGTTATGAACATAGTTCAGCAAATGAAGGACTTTGGCCATGTGGGTACAATGTTACCTCGAGATAATAGCACTGGTGAGCCTGTCCCTACTCAGACAACTTGCTCTAAAACTTGGTTCTTTTCATACATCACATCACATCTCTAAAAATGACAGAAATGAAAAACCAAATGAAAATACTAATAATACCCAAAAATATTGGTATAACTTTAGTTTATGGGCTGGAAAATTCCATTTCATTAGTGGATAATGAGCCAGCTGTTAACATATTTCAGACATATGATAGATGAAACACATTCCAGCAGTCTGTTCGGAGGCTGATCAGGCTTCTGTATCAGTGCTGCCAGGATTGTGTTAACCTTCAGGGAAGTCAGTCATTACAGGGAAGTTTGCAATGTTGTCACAACTGTGGACAATTCTCAATCACAATTAATCTGGGTGCTGTGGTTTACATTTGTGTTCACACCTCTATGAGTTTTGTTTGACATCTGATGTTTAAAATATTTGCTTAAGCCCATGAGACCTAAGTGTTGCCTTAGTTTTGTGTATTAATTGAAAATGAATACAGCTGTCATACAACAAGCACAGAATAAGCAGATGAAAATACATATTACAAACATATGAAACAAAGAGAACAGAACAAATAGCTATGCCCATAAATATTTCTGAATGAATAAATACTTTTTCAAAAATATCATTGTTTTTTTCTTGAAATAGGAATGCAGTGACAGCAGAGGTGTGAGAATTGAGGGCTCTCAGTGGATTCCACTCAGACACAGGAGGCTGTCTGAGCCTGTCTGGGCCTGAGTCCAAAATATCTAGTCATCAAATATGAACTTTAGTGGTTTTCGTCTCAAACGGTGTCCTCTGGCAGCCTTACAGTCTTTGTCTACTTTTCATCCTTGCTCTGTGCTTTGTCTCTGGTCAGTGCTGCACCAAATCTGATCTGATCTGTGCTGCACCAAAGTCAAAACTAAAGCCCAAAGTAAAGAGACTCGCCTTATTAAAATAAAGCCTTCCACACAAAACAGAAATGCCTTTTTCCTTCCACACTTTTGTGCTCACTGAATAGATATCAGCCTTCTTTGTGCTGTAAGTACCTGCATCAGATGAACTGTGTTTGGTCTTCCAACCTTTTGTTCATGGTGCTGAGCCATACATATTATCTGTCAGAAATTCTTTGACTTTGACCACTTTCTTGAATTCTAATACTAAATGCTTGATAAAGACACCCAATTAGTATAAATGTGTCAAACATTAGTAAAACATTAATAAATTATTAACACTTGGTGGCACTGTGGTCTGGAGCTTAGCTTGACAGATACAGAGATCTGAGTATCCATGGTACGTGGGATTTTTCTGGATGTTTCTGTTGCCTCTTACCTCCCAAAGACCTGCTGGCGTTTGATTGTTTCTTAGATTTATGTTTTTTTCTGTCATCCCTGGGATGGAGCGCTGTCCCTGCCAATAGGAGAGGAGTCTTGTGCTTTCAGACATGCCTGGTGCCCTATTTTTCTGGGATAGGTTTACAGAAACCCTCACGAAGATGAGTGACTTACTTGTAAGGGATGGATGAAGGCATGAATAAAACTGTGCCAATAAAAATATACAAGAGTAGAAATGTGTAAATTAAAAATAAAAAATAATATTTCTCTCTCTCACACGGTGTGGTAAGGATCCTTACCATTGGGCAGTCTGAGGGCAAACCTGTACCGCTTCCCAGCTGAGACCTGTGACTGGGAGACCCCTCAGGACAAGGCGACAGGCCTGTGGTTCAGCGTGGAGTATCGGCCAGAGACGGAGCAGCTGCTGGTGTCCCTCCTGAGAGCCACCAACCTACCATCACTGTGCCAGGTCTTCCCCACCCTGGTCAAGGTGCACCTGCTGCCCGCTGAACGGCACCACGTACAGGCCAAGGCCAAACGCAAGAGCTGCAACCCGCAATTTGGGGACAGCTTTGTCTTCCAGGTACTGTATCTCTGCAGCGAGGAAAGCACCTCTCACGGTGGGATAGCATATGAAAACAGGAGCGTGGTTTGAAGAAGTTTGAGCCCAGGGCACAGCTGAGATCCTTGTGTTTTACAGGCAGATCACAACTGGTACAGAAAAAAAACAGCCATCATTTTATCCTCCATTTAGTGGAGGGCTAGAGAGCACTGAACTAAAGGAAAGCAGTAAACAGCAAAATGGACTAGGACTATTCAGTTGAATCTTAGAATAAGAAAAAATATGGCAAAAGACATTATAGAAACTCACATACTACACTTAACTTAGAAATGGACAGCAGAAGTGTAATGCTAAGCCTTCTATCACCCCCTTGGGGTTTCAGTAAGAAGTGCATTGCCTTGCTGTCAAACCAACATTCAGAGAAGCATTTCATTTGCTTGTAGAAGTGTGTGTCTCCCCCTAGCTGATCATAGACGTACTGTATATGAGTCTGGAGCACAGTCTGGAGCACAACTTCAGCTTCTCAGCAATGTCTAAAAGAGCCAGTAATAGTTTTCCTAGAGGCTGAAGCTTTACACAATCCACTTGATTGAATGCCTATTTCATCAGATCACATGGGGAACCCAGGGCGTTAGTTTCTTCGTACAGTATGTCAGCAGTCTGTGACTCAGGTTTCATGGTCCTGTAGGGATCCTGAGAGGCCTCTTGTTTTAGTCAACAATGTCGTTTGAACTAATTGCTGGTTTAATGAGTCAAATTATTATTATTTAAATTATTAAGTTAATGAATAAATATTTTGTTCCACTTCTTAACATGATGCCACTGATTAAAGAAACTGACAACGCCTGGACCTCTTCAGCAACAGGGTAGAAGAAAAATGATATTAAGTAAGATCTGTGGTGGAAGATCTGTTACATCATGCTACAAGTGAGAAAAGCAACACATTGAGTTTGTTCAAACATTCTCAGTTAGCTGGGGTTTCACTTTTTTAAAAAAGGCAATCCTCTGGATTACCCAAACATGAGTTAGGAAAAATGTCTAAGTTACTCTCGGTTCCCCTCTCTTTGTCCTCAGTACATAAGATAGCAAATACTGTGTGTGTGTCAATAATTAAAATATTCATACTGAATCTTCTTTAAGGCAGTTGATACATTTTAATAATAGCTAATTAATGGTTTACCACTATTTGTGCGACACCAAAGGTGCAAGTTTTATAAGTGAGGCATGTGGTAAATATCTTCTAACGCTCTCCTTGTCTGTCTCTCTGTGGAGGTGTCTAGTAGGTCCCTGCCACAGCACACGCTGTGCTTCTCTCTCTGTGTTGTGGACAAGCAGAAGAAGCACCAGCCTCTTGGCCTGGTTAGATTCCATCTGTACGAGCGGGATCTCAGTGAGGCGGCTGGGAGGGTGCTGTGGAGACACCTGGAAAAGGACAGCACTGAGGTACCACTCCAGGGCACACTGCTACAACGTGGCCCTGGTTTTTCCTCTTTGTTGAAATAACAGTTTTCCTTAACTGTAATGTCATTCTCATCCCACAAATCCTCAGCCTTGATCCAGGGTTGCCCAGGTCCAGTTTATGGTCCTCCCTCTTGATTTTGAATTCATATCTTTATTACTTAATCCTTAATGAAATATCAGGACTTGAAAGTCCGGCCAATAGAAAAAGTCTATCAACTCTGACTCTAAGCTTTCAGGGGAGAGCTTCTTTTTGCACAATACAAAAAATAATCTCATAAAAGGTTAATGAAATGCTTAACTGAGCTAATTATTTTTAAGTGTCTTGAAACCCATAACATTGAAAGGGATGGATATTCTAAAAAAAGAAGACTGTAAGTAAATTACTAGTTTAACTGAGAGCTGTGTAATTCAAATAAAACCTCAGATGGACCCAAATACTGATTGCAGTTCTTCAAGAGTGCTGAATCCTGATGATTGGACAGGAATTGGGCAGATACAGAGGGCTGTTTATCTCTTTGTCTTTCCACAGTCTTGTTCAGGGCTTGGTGATATCCAGGTATCTCTCAACTACAATCAGTCTCTGCAGCGCCTCACTGTGGTGGTTCTGAGAGCCAGGGCGTTGCAGCTACACTATGACAGAGAGCCAACAGGTAGGCTGCAGGGACCAGTCACTGACAAAAACATTGCGTGTGGCAGCTCCTATAACGTGTAAAAGATTACAAATGAGATCTGTTGGGTTGAGATTTCCTTTCATGTTACTGTAGAAACACAAAATCGTCTAATTATCATTCCAACTATATCTTATCACTGACTGAATGAGGTCGGCATTGCAGGTTCTTTGGCATTGGAAAGATTCTGTAATGAAAAAAAAATGTATAATCAATTCAAACAACCTAGAAAATGATTAAGTACCAGACTAAATCTTACAGTAAGTCCCAGGTTTTGAGCGGAGTGACCCCTTGGATTGTCCTGGTTTTATTCTACCAGTATAACTGAAAAGCAGTTTGTATCAAAATTCTACACTGGATTACATTAGAAGTTTGAGTGTCCAACATATTAGCACTTCGTAACTCTTAGATATGTACAGGTGATAATGTACTGTTTTATTAATTGTTCTAATTTGAAGGAGATGATCCTTCACCTGATAACACAATCTCAGTTGATTCTAGCTTCCCATTTCCTGGGGTGCAGCCCCTGAGCTCCTTTTCTTTGTGAATGCTTTGCGATGTGATTAAAGGTGCAATATCAAGGTATTGACATGTCCACTGAAGTGCAGTGTCCTTGTGCTCTGCACAGGTGTCTTTGTCCAGGTGTCCCTGCAGATCCACACAGAGCTGGTAAAGAGTAAGAGCACAGCTGTTGTCAAGGCAGATCCCAGCCCCACCTTCAATGAAACCCTGACCTTCAATTTGCCATCTTCCCAATTGGATGCAGCCTGCTTGAGACTGGAGCTCAGGCAGCTCTTGCCAGACCAGCATCGTGAGTCTCACTGGCACAACCAGTTTGCGCCAACCTGCTTTTCTCCCCTTACTGACCAGGTCAAGCCTCGCTTAGCTTGCGACCTGATTCTAATATACAGTATTTCCTGGTTTGTGCTGAAGGTGGAAATACATTTCCGAGCTCTCACTGCTATACACATTTCTAATTTCATATAAATAAGTATATTCTTACGACACATCTTTTGTTAGTCTTAGCACTCAGCAAATATGAAAAGCGGTAAAGAAAATTAAAAGGATTGAGGGTGTGTCTTAGAAAGTGCGGTATTTGAATTGCTTACAGCTAATATTGAGTTTGTCACTCAGCATGTTGTACGTTTTCTGTGGAAAAGGCTGACATGAGGTCAGTCTCAGTCTTAGTTGAATTTTTAGGGGGTTTTCTGCACAAGGAATATTTAAAAGAAAGTAGTTTTAGCAAGCAAGCTGGCAGCACTATCTACGAATGTATCTGGGAAAACAGTAACTTGAGTGTGTTGTCTTCTTCTCTCCAGAGTCTCTGGGCCTGGTGGTGATTGGTCCTTTCATGTACGCTCGGGGTCAGGAGCAGGAGCATTGGAATGACATGGTCAGCAAACCACAGGAGCTGATCAAACAATGGCATACACTCCACAGCATGGCAGGGACACAGATCCCCTCTTGATACTGAACACACTTGTCACTCCTGACACATGACACGTGGCTCACTACTGACACTGAGTACACTTGTCAATATTGACACCACACACTGCTCAGTACTTACACCAAGCACTCTGCTCAACTGGCACTAAGCACACTACTTTACCTGACATTGGGCACACTGCTCAGAGTTGGCACTTAGCACACTGCTCAGTACTTACACCAAGCACTCTGCTCAACTGGCACTAAGTACACTACCTTACCTGACGTTGGGCACACTGCTCAGAGATGGCACTTAGCACACTGCTCAATGCTGGCACTAAGCTCATCGCTTCAGTATGGACACTGCACACTCTGCCACAGCACTGACACTGGCCATGATGCCTCAGTATTGACACTGGACTTGCTGTTCAGTATTAACACCAAGCACACTGCCTCAGTCCTGACATGGGGCACACAAATAGTATTCTTTTCACATGTTGACCTTGAGCCTACTGATACTGTTAACTATCAATACAAACACAGAAACAGTAGGTTCCTAGATTTTATTATTACCAGAAGAAGATTATTCACAATGAGAAAATTATCTATTTCAATCACAAATCAGTGGACGGGACCAGACACTCAAACAGCAAGAATGCAGACAGGGAATGTTGTAGCTGTAGTTGCTGAGACTGGTGCTTTCTTGTAGCATAAATGTTGTAAATTAATGTAATAATTACATAAAAATGTAAATAAATAACACTGTTAAGTGGATTTCTGATTTAAGAGGTTCTGAGTGCACATTACAACACACCTCATTAACACCACAGTGCTTTTAAATACATCAATTACTAGAGTCTTTGTCTGTGAGAGAACCATAATTTTGCACCAGTTGCTTATGTAGGCAGTGCAGCATGTCAGTGCATTAAGAAATCTAAAATTGTCCACCTTCAAAAGTGCAGAGCTTTTCTATAAATGATGCAATTGGCTTCTTTACCAAGAAATAGGTAAAGCCATTGAAAAAGACCCATTTCAAGCCAGAAAATTGGTCTGCTGCAACAGAAAATACTGTAACTATATTTCTCAAGAATGATTTTGTTTTTTACATGCTGAGAATGATGATTGATGGGAAAACAAAGGGCTATGAGACAATGTTCAAGAGCAGAATGAGAGCTAGCATGCAGACGTGTAATGATTTACTTTAGAATGATTTGCATCAGATATCTGCATGCTACCTAAATGAGAACTACCTTTATTTTACTTTCATTTAACGTACAATTGATCACTCCTGAGCTGAGTGAGATAACATCTGATAATGGTGAATGTTAAGTTGCTGGTGTCAACAGAAAGAGTTTTGTCTTGGACCTTCTCTGGTGACTTATTTTATAGCTATGTCCTCTCCTTTTTGAATACTCAATGGAGAGTTTGCACGTCCAACAGATCCATGGTGACAGAAATAATTACAAAGTGATCAATAGTTTCTGAGGAGAGGAGAACAAAAGTGAGAGAGAAAGAGAAGCTCTCAATTTTTGTCATAGAAAAACAGAGTAATTTCCCTTCCAATGGATTCATCCAATTAGCAATCTAATAATACCAACAGACCCTGTAATACATCCAGTGGAATCTTTCAAGCTGTACAGATGTAAATATTTGTTGTCAATCCTACAATATACCCAGTAACTAGGAGAAAGAATGATGAAGGCATATGTTTTTTTCATTTAAAAATCATGCAGGTTTCTTTAATAAATGTTAATGACTATGTTGTGGTATAGAAGTAAACAGCATTGATAGGTGTCTTTTTATGTTTTGTGGAGCTTTTGGTGTCGATAACCACAATGCTATAGAAACACCATTTTAATTACTCCACAATGTCAGCCAAAGCCTTTAATTTCACTTGCTAATCATAATTTGCATTCGTGCTCTGTGCAAATAAAAGAGACAAATACATTTGGTTTGGTTTTATGTCACTTTTTCATCAGCATACAAATTAAAACATCATAATTAAGTGTCCTGAACAGAAAGTGCATAAAATCATAATAGTGCTCTAATACTCTAATGCACCTGTGGTTCGTATGCGTTAATTCATTCCTGATATGTTTATACTACTCGCATGTTGTTGCTGGATCCTCAATGTTATTTTGGAAAAAGGCCCCTTTGTTAGCCTGGACATCCTCCGAGATACTCAAGTCTTGGCTTGTGCTTGTCAATCAAGCAGGTCAGTTCCAGGTTTTGTCAATTCCAAATCTGTGAATAATAGTGCTCCAATCTGAGTGGGTTGGTTGTTCTCATTGCAGTTGATGTCCAGAAGACCTGAATCACTGCATGCCTTACCTGCAGCAACACAATTGGTATGGTACAGGGATCCACTGGGAATCACCCTCTACTTAAAACACTCCTGTCTATTCTTGAATTCCATATGTTGTGGCAGCTCAGCATGTTCCTGTGCTTCTAGTTTATCAGTAGTTCACAGCGCAGTAGCTCTGGTCCTGGTGGATGCTAAGTCAATGGCAGTTGTATGCAGAGGGAAAGGTGCATCACTGGCCTAGTTCATCTCTGCCAGGACAGTCAGTGCGGTGTTGGCCTGTGAGGCCAGCTTGGCATTGGCATGACCAGAGAGTTTGGTCAGGCTTTCCTTAAGGTTCAGCAATTCCATCTGTTCCCTCAGGGAGACTTTGAGATGGAGAGAGAGAAGGGAGATGGAATTAAGAAACCTAATCGTTTCAGTAAAACTGCCATTCAATCATAATGTTAAAGGCCTTAAAGCTACAGTACCTAATAGCACCATTCTAAACCAGCATTTCTTTAGCAATAGTCTAGTTCTGCTCACCAGAGTTGACCAGGCTGCAGACGAGGCCAACTGCACTGAACTTCACCTCGACTGCACCCACAGGGTCATCCAGCATCTGCTGCAGAGTGGGCACCAGGCCCACCTCCCGAAACACGACCTCCATGGACTCTGCAGGACAGGTAGTGTACACAGGGTATGTGGCACGATGGAACACAGGTCAGATTAAGTTTGAAGAACTGTGTCTGTGATAAATACATTTTTTCTTATGAATAATATTCTGTAGATATGCAGTCCGAAAAGGTACAGTACTTTATTGTGGCCTTGTCAGGGTGGCTAGATCTTCCAGCACACATGCACACAAGGCTTGAGTACAATGGAGTACAGAGAAGCAGACAAGCACAGCATTTATTCACAGCACCCTCAGAGAGATATTCTAGTCAGGTTTCCATCATCATTTAATTCTGCTTTTATTTGTATGAATTTAAACCTCTCCAGCACCTCAAACCTAGAGGAAAATAGATTCACTGATATCTACAGTACATACACTCTAAGGTTATCGAATTAAATGTTTACAGTAGGTGTTTCTTAATGATGTTACTGCAGGCAATATAATAACTTAATAGACTGCCAGAAAAAATCAATCTGTGTCTTTTTTGTTCTCATGTGGAAAGATCCCTGTTTTATATTCCAGTTTACTTCTGAACTGCTGAACTGCTGTGAACATGAACTAGAGTTTCTATTATTAATTGTTGAAACAATTATATGTCACCAGACAAAGACCCTCACTATGTACTCATGAAGCTAGCAAGGTTTGTCAAGTTACTGTAGGTAGCAACGTTACAACCCTTAAATAGAATGGAGATATCAGGAGGCAACTGGGGAATGTGTAGTGCAATTAGGACCATAAATACGCTCCTAGCCCCATTTATAAGCTTGCATGGAGATGTGTTAGTGTTTGACACTTTAGTGTAGAAGTGTTGCAGGTAAAGCTGATTTAATCTTGTCTGTCTGCACTTTACAAACAGTAACTGGGTTTTTTGGCATTTATTTCCTGACGCTGCAGTCCCTCCAAAATTCTATTTTTATATCATCTCTGTCTCATAATTAAAATAAGTAATTACAAGATTTCAGTAAATAATCAGAATTTTGCATTTGTGATTTATAAAACTTGGTAAAAAAAACCCTCCTTAAAATATTACATCAACACAGAAAAACTTAAAAGTAAATGTTAGTGACTGCTCTCTCTTGCAGTACATTGGTAACTATGAATCTCCTCTAGTGTCTTAGGCATAATTGAGTCTTACTGTTTCTCATATCCCTGCTTGTCAATGAAGTGTCTTTCAATGAGTCAGAGTGTCACAGTTCTTTCCACTTACAGTATGCATCTGTTCCTGCCCTTCTCTCCATCAAGGTGAGATGAGGGGTGTATGTCTCGTGGAAACAAGTTTGCCACGCTCACCAATGTCGATAGCAGAGGCGATCGCCAGGGCAACCAGGGCTTCGTTCTGCATGATGACGTGTTCGCTTGTTGCCATGGTGATGAGGTGCCGCACTCCACCTGCTCTGGTCACAGCGTGGATCACTTCCTGTCAGGACAGCAGAGAGAAGGAGTTAGTGTAGTAGTCTCACACCGTGGTCAGCAAGTGCGTTCATCAGTGGCCAGGTGATATACAGTAGAAAAAATGTTTTTGGTCTACTTTAAATTCAAATCAATTTAAAAAGATGTAAAGATTATTCAAAAAGATGATTCATAAAGATGTAACACTCTCTGTGGCGATATGTGTATCAGAGTGCTTGTCTGTGTGGGTTTGTCTGTCTATGTATATCACGTTGTATCTGTATGATTCTTTATGAATATTAATTAGAGGCCATAATCAGTGCATCAGTTTGTGCATCACTGTGCATGTGTGTATTTCACAGGCACAAATGTGTGCTGCTATACATACATACATGTGAAGATATCAGTGTGTGTGTGCTTGTGTAAGACAACAGGCACAAGTGTGTGCTCCTGTACATGTGTATATCACTGTGTGTGCTTGCGTAGGTGTACAGACACAAGTGTGTGCTTCTGTACATGTGTATATCACTGTGTGTGCTTGCGTAGGTGTACAGACACACGTGTGTGCTCCTGTACATGTATATATCACTGTGTGTGCTTGCGTAGGTGTACAGACACAAGTGTGTGCTCCTGTACATGTGTATATCACTGTGTGTGCTTGCGTAGGTGTACAGACACACATGTGTGCTCCTGTACATGTATATATCACTGTGTGTGCTTGCGTAGGTGTACAGACACAAGTGTGTGCTCTTGTACATGTGTATATTTCTGTGTGTGCTTGCGTAGGTGTACAGACACAAGTGTGTGCTCCTGTACATGTATATCACTGAGTGTGCTTGCGTAGGTGTACAGGCACAGGTGTGTGCTCCTGTACATGCGCATGAGTGTTTGCAGGGACTCACTGGAGCTCGGCTATGTCTGATGAGGGCTGCCAGCAGCCTGTTGGCCTCTCCCCGGACCCCAGCATGATCCCGGGCCTCACACCATTCCATCACCCTAGACAAAAGGGCTTCATCCTGGCCTAGCACAGCCGCTGCTTCCTCTGAGGGAGAAACACAGTCTGACAGAAGAAACTCCCCACAGCACAAAAACACACCTTAGACTCTGCTGCACTATTGTCTCCGCATATAGGCAGGAGCCGTAACTAGTAATTTAATACGACCAGACAAACGGTTTGTGCTAGACTGTCTTCAAATTGTTATTTCATCATCAGTCAAGAGTGCAGAATGAAAGGTTGCCACAGTTGGCATTTCTTTGGCCATGGTCTTGAGTGTCATAAGAAATTAAGGGGTATTTACAAAAGGATGTAATTAAAATATCACAATTAACTGAATAAACAATGCAATCCTCATTTGTGCTAGCAGAGTTATTCTGGTTTTGGCGGTAATTGTCTTCTTTCACAGTCTTGGTGGTTTGAAACTGTCACAGTAGGGAGCCACCCACAGCTGTAATTCTGCTTGTGTGTCCGGAAGGTTGATAATTAGCTACACAAAGGGGTATGTGACAGAGACAGTCATTTAAACTATGACAACTGAAGCCATAAATCAGGAGCCCTCCAGTCCCCTAAAAGCCACAGAGCCTTTCAGCTTTCATTCAACCTGAGCACTTATTAAATAAAACATCTTGACCTGTTTAACCTTTTCTGAGGTTTAAACTGATAGGATTTAAAGGAAACTCTGTCTTAATGTCGTAGGACTGACTTGCTTAATTAACTGACTTTTAATTTAAAGTGAAATATCTTACAACCATCTCAATACTGACTACACTGTCAAGTCTGTCACCACTGTGTTAATTCCCCTCGAGGAGCACATCTGTGCACAACAGCCAAGAAACAAAACAGGACTTCTTGAGGATCAGACCTCACCTTGCCCATCGACCATCATGCGCAGGGTGCCCAGCAGTTTGAACTGTACCGGGGGCATCTCCGAACGCAGCAGGGCCTTAATCCTCTCCGACACCGCATCCTCCAGCATCCGCACCTTGTTAGTGGCTAGAACATTCATACATACTGTAGGAATGGGTTCAACACAGTCTGTCAAGAGCTCGCCTTTCGCCAAAGTATACCTCGGGGTTTCTGAATTGACACAGCTCTTCTTCTACAATAACTTATCATTTCACTGTGTTTTTTAGGACTCATATTCACTGAGCATTATTACCCTGGACCAACTGTATTGTAACTCCAATATTTCTGACCACAAATGATTAGAAGGGAAGGATCAAGCATCTACAGTCATATTCATACTACAGAGGTTGAAAGGGGGGCAAGATGGAGGGCAGCGTGCACAGGTCTTCACTCCCTCCATGGGAGGCAAGCATTGGTGTAAGGATGTTGAGTTAATAAGGGCCAGATTCCAATTTTCCAAATGTGTGCCAGTACTGTAGGCCAACAAACCTTCCCCCAATCCCATCAAATCAGACAGATATAGTCTCTCTGATAACACACTGCATCAGAGACAGTCAGCGCTGATCTAAGGTACCTGGAATTGCAAGGTTCCTGAGAGCACTCAGAGCAGCGTGCTGGACAGACACGTCCCCTTCATCCACATGGTGCTCCAGCAGGTTTAATATGTGAGGGACCACCCCGAGCTCCACCATCCGCACACAGTTCCCGTCTGAGACGGCCATTCCCCAGAACGAAAGTGCATTGCATGGTGAGAGCAGATCCCTTCTGCCAACTTCCTTAAATACATGTCATAATCCAACGGGCCGATTTTCTAAATGTGCCACTTTGGAGATCAGCACTTCGAGAAAGTGAAAGATTTAAGCCTGCCTCTTGCAGAGAGACAGATCAAGCAAGAAGAAGCCAGATAAAGCAAATATCTTGTAAAAGCTGCCAACACTCACCATTCCTGGCGAAGTTGGCGATGGCCAGTGCTCCCGACAGCTGCAGCTGGGTGTTGGACGATTGTAGCCAAGACAGGACATCCTGATAGATACTGCCTGTCCCGTCCCCAAAACACTTCTGCATGGATTCATCTAGAACACATTGAGAGTGCCTTGTAGGAAGACATCAGGACTAAAAACGCATCAGCAGCAAAAACTCTTTAAAGAGCTTTTATGAGCAACAGGGGGTGAAGAGGAAGAAAATGGATACACCAGCTATTTCAAGGAGTAATAGTGCATCTGATGATAGCAGGAGGGGAGATACAAAACGGTGTGCATGAGGCCCTCAATGTTTAAGTAACTCACCCCCCAGCAACAGCGACACGATGAGATTGGAGGCAATCTTGATGCTGCAGAGGTCGTGGGGGTCAGATCCCCCCTGTAGACCCTGAATCATCTCCGACAGGGCTTGAGGGACTCCTGCGTCCACAAACTGCAGCTTCAGCAAATCTGAGCACACAGACAGAGCACAGCACGTTCACCACACGCTGCGGGGCTTAGACGTTCTGTACTGTTTAGTCTGTCTCTTTAGTTTCCATACTGCCCAGTGCACTGGCTGAACAACATGTGACTTGGCATAAACTAAAAGGGAATGATTTCTAATTATATTTCAAACTGAGTCCTTTCTAACTCAGTGTGTTGAACATGCTGTGTCCACATAATTTTAGATTAGCTTATCTAAACCTACTACCTACAAACTTTTCAAGACCCAGATCATAGTCAGTTATCAGGAAAGTTTTAGGCCAATGTACTTATACTATTCTATAGGGAACATTCTACCTCTACACCTTTCTTCACTCAGGCACAGGAGAAGCTGCAAACCTTTTCTAAGGCAGGTCCTAGGAGACTAGAGACCACAGATTCACCATTCCGGGCCTCATGGCCTCACCTGTTCCCTCAGTTCCTTAAGTGAATCTTTAATTCTACCTACACTGTAACCCAGCTAGTTGAAATCCCTGGGGAAGTTATGAAATCACCCGACACAGGGAATAACTACTGTAGGTGATTTGAAAGCTTTGGAAAGAAATGCAGATGACTTTGGACCGGAGCTTGGTGTTAGAATTCTAAGACATTCTAGAACCACACTGAGTAAGGTTATTAACACTTGGAAGAGCATTCATCAATCAATTACGACTATCTCAAAGCAATAAATTCAAGCATTGCTTCTCTTGGCAAGAATGAAAAGTTCATTAAACATACTTGGGTCCGCAGGTTTGACTCACTGATTGAAATCAGTCAAAGAATTGTTTCAAATATATTGAAGCACAAGGAAAGACCTCCACCTCTGAAGTTCTATGGTCCACAGAAGATGGTGATTTTATCTCTCAGCTGTCAACACGCTGCCTCACCAATAGTTTCTGAGTATGTATCTTATTTTCATACCAACAGCAAGCTATAGGTGCTATGTTAATATGCAGGCTAATTTGTGAAATATGTACAAGGTAAATGTGTCGGTACTGTGCTGTCCCTTACAGAGCTGGTTTTCGGTTTTCTCTGGACTTGTTGGCAATTTGTTGAAGCAAAGTATCTCACTCACCGATTATTTCCTTTCATAGACAGACAGTTAATAGGTGATCCAGGTGATCCTCATTACTGAAGGCTAACATTGTCTTTTGCTCATGTTGTTTTAATTAATGTATTTTTAATTAACTATATAGATTCTTTATCAACTCCAAATGGCAAACAGCTAACACCAAGTGTTTCAATGAAATCATATAACTTAAGCTGAGTATATTGTTATAACAGGGAGCAATACTACTCCATCACCACACCTATTGTAGCAATTTATTATTTAAGATGTAAAAACCATGCACCCAATGAATTATTGATGAAAACCGCAGACTGCTGTGTTTTCATTGTGAATCAGTATATTAATTGTCACTTGATCACATGTTTAGACTGGAACAAGTGTAAACACTTATTTGAAAATTACATTAGTGTCATAGCCCTGTGGGGGTTACTGTCTGCTGCAGAGAACCACTTGAACATAGAAAAGAAGGTCAGACACACAGAGGTGAAGTGTTTCAAAGCTATTTCTAATGTGAATGTGCTGTCCTGAGTACAGATCCTCAGATTTACACTTAAAAGGTAACAATGGTAGTAGTTGTATATCAGTCCTGCCTGTTGTCTTATAGTTCGTGGAATAAACTGGAAATGGAAGGGTATGGAGTTCCTAATATACTCCTATGATATGGCCACTCCTCTAGAAACACTGGAGGCAGTAAAACAAAGAGTGAAAGCTGGATGGAACAAGTGGAGAGAAATAACTGGAATAATCTGTGACAGGAAAATTCCCAGAAAGTTAAAGTGCAAAATGTACAAGACTGTGATTAGACCTGTATTACTATATGGAGCTGAATGCTTGGCAGTTGGAAAGAGGGAAGAGAACTTGATGAGAAGAACTGAAATGAGGATGTTGAGATGGATTCTGCAGATTTCAATGAAGGATAAGATCAGAAATGAAGAAATCCGTAGACGATGTAGGGTGGTGGATGTGGTTGAGAAGATGCGAGAAGCGAGGTTACGGTGGTATGGACATATCATGAGGAGGGACGTTGAGGAAGTAACAAAGAGGGTAATGGAATTTGAGGTGGAAGGTAACAGAGGAAGAGGCAGGCCTAGAAAGAGATGGATAGATTGTGTGAGAAAAGATATGGAGGTATGTGAAGTGAGTGAGGAAGATGTGCTCGACAGAGACAAATGGAGAAGAGCAACCAAAGCAGCTGACCCCAGGACAGTCTGGGACTAAGGCTGTGAAAAAGAAGAAGAAGAAGAAGAAGATATGGCCACTCCTCTCAGTAAAGCAACCTCCCCACCACCACCATGCAGAGGGTGATAACTTATGATAACAGAGGGAATAACTAAATTATATCTTTGAAAGCTTTGGAAAGAAATCCAGATGACTTTGGACCAGAGCTTGGTGTTAGAATTCCATGACATTCTAGAACCACGCTGAGTAAGTGTATTAACACTTGGAAGAGCATTCATCAATCAATTCTGACTATCTGGAAGCAATAAAATCTAACATTGCTTCACTTGGCAAGAGTGAAAAGCTCTTTAAATATACTTGGGTTCTCAGGTTTGACACACTGATCAGAATCAGTCAAAGAACTGAATAACCTATGGAATAACCTGAGAGCTGATACATACAAAAATGATGCACAGGTGGATAGACACCCGTTCTCAATCATTCCACTTACTCCCAATTTGAATGAGAAAGAGATGATTTCACGCAGCCGTATTGGACACCCCTGGCTGAACATTAGCCACTCACCATTTTCCCCCAGTGTCCCCAGCACCTCCAGAATGATGTGTCGGCGCTCAGCATTGGGGGCTCGTCGCAGCTGCACTGTCAGGCACCCCGCCACTCCCACCTCTGCTAGTGCATCCCGAGCACAATCTGAAAGCAGGCAGGGTGAAACTGACCTGAACCGGCAGGAGAGTATAACACCCACATGGGCCAGAGCGCAGCTGATCAAAGAGCTGAGACAACGGCATCGGCACAGCAAAACTCTGGCCAAGCAGGTTTACCATCCTCAAGAGCTTGAGAAAATCTGTCCCTTCGAGGAAACGAGAAGTTCAACGTGTTGTCTGAAAGTACTACAAAAGCCAAAAGATTGTGTGACCTTCAGGGACCAGTGCTGTGTTATCTATCATAGAAAATAACCTTTTGCGTTGTTACAGCATATTTTAGACAAGAACAATCAAAGCAAACCTTGACAGTATACAGTATCCCTGAGGCAGGCTAGTTGATGAAGCAACCTGCCGTGGGAATCGATTACACTACAGTACTAGATGCATTTCAGACCAAAGCAATAATGCATGTTTGCTCATTATGTCTTCCTCTCACTGTTTCCAGAACATTAGTTTTTTACAGGACAGGGTTGTTAGTCTTGTGCCCAACCTCCAACATAGAGGACCTGGCACCTGACATGAGACACAAACCCACTACCCTGAGATTATGAGTCTCATGCTCTACCAACAGAGCTAGTCAGGGCCCCTCCAAATGACAATAATAATATTAATAAAACACATTTTATTTTAAAAATTGCAACTACAGTAGCTAGGGAAAATAGTGCATTATTTCAAATAGTACACACAGTGTACACTATGAGATGGATCTCTTGAGAATCAGAAATATCACGTGCTGTTCTACCTTAAGCAACATCAGAAGGTAAGACTACTCCCCATTCTGAGCATCTGACAGGATCAAGTGAGGTCAACTGAGTCATACTTTGTGATAACATCATTATTCTTTAAATACATAATCATTATTTATATTCAATATTTATTTACTGATTCTTATAATTATTAACACATCATTTGTTTGGTGGGCCATGAAAGGTTGGTGCATTAGATAGAAAGTTAAAGACTAATCAGATGCAGAGACACAGATTTTAAAATTCAGTGTTACATGAATCTGCACCTCGAAGTACATTGTGTGGTAGGTGTGAACTGGCCCTACAACCAGAAGACAAAACCCCTTGGGATCTACCAGGAACACACACTGTCCTGAATTAACATGACAAATGTTTGGCCCCGGACAGGGTTGTGTCTTGAATTGTCCTGCTTTCACCATCTCCTCACCAATGTCCGCCAGGTTGCAGAGAGCGAGCAGGCACACGTTGACCAGGGGATCGTTCTCCGGGTACTGCTGCATGATTGCCACCAGCCGAGGAATGACACCCCACTGCACCAGCTGATCCTGCTGGGGACCTGAGCAAGACAGGATTTGGAAGAGATTTGTATCCCTTTACAGATACCACATGTTTAAATATTGAGACAAACTCATTTAAAAACACCTTCAAGGGATACAAGGGTTTCAAACAGTAAAGTGTCACGAGCCCTTTCCTATTCCCGCAAAGCCGACACATTAAGCAATTATCCAATCACACCGCTCGCTCATCACCGCTCATCTTCTGCTTCCCAGAATACTTAAGAGCTCGCTACCACCACCACAATGCTCAGCACTGGTCTTGCCAGTGGAGCTCTCAGCTCTTAGTTCTTGTCTTCGAAACCTTCCTTGTTGCTGTCTAATTCCTGAACCTCCGGCTTCTGGACCTGTATCAGGGCTTTGACTACAATTCCTGATTCCTCAACTTGGCTAAGTACACCTGGCTTTCTCTCTTAAATCTGACACCTGAAATTCACCAGCTATCACATAGGGTCCAGTAATTCATAATGGCAACAGCGCCGTTACATAAAGGTGCTCAGCTTTTCCCTGTATTGCTATATATTTTATCTTGGGTTTGAGCCTGGCCTATGACGTTAGCTGACAGTAGCTGCATTCCCCAAAGGCAGAATTGACTGAGATTGGGTTGAGTTGGCTTGGGTTGGCCATCTTCACCTTGCTGTGTAACAGCAAAACCTGGGGTTTGGATGGTAACCTTCAAGCTTATGATAATACTACTACTAATAATAATTCCTTATACCTATAAAGCTGTATTCTGGACACTCAAAGTTAAATTCCACTCTATTCTGGATACTCCACACAAACCCCTCCACACCTGGTTGATGTGACAGCAGCCAAAGTGCATTCAGTATGATCTCATTGAAGCCAAATCATAGGATTCTTAGGAGGCCATAATTGGCAAAGGCCATGATGAAAGTTGGCCAGGATACTGGGGTAACACCCCCACTCATTTAAAAAAAACACCCTGGGATTTTTATTGACCACAGAGAGTCAGAACCTCAGTTTTAGAAGGACTACTGTATGTTTTTTACTAGGAGACACATCTGTTCTTTAGTCTACACTAACTTCCCTCTAAGATGCTGTGGACATCACACCATGTCAAATGGCAAAAGGCTCGATAAATATGTGTTAGAGGAGCATGTGCACTCACAGAGAAACAACAGATAAATCCAATTATAAGGATGGAAGATATTCAAAATATCTGACCAAAGTTCTCCAGCAGT